AACAGTAATAATAAAAGGATTGGAATAAACAACTGATGCACAATGCAATTGCTCACCACCCGCCAATCGATGCCCAGTTAGTCCCCGAGCAGCGATCTCCCTGCCCCCACTCCCCCCAGTTTATATACTGGGCATGACATCACATGGTATGGAATACCCTGTTGGCCAGTTTGGACCAGCTGCCCTGGCTGCGTCCTTTCCCAACTTCTTGTGCCCTCCCAGCTTTCTCACTGGCTGGGCATCAGAAGCTGAAAAATCCTTGACTTCAGACTAAACACTACTTAGCAACAACTGAAAACATCAGTGTGTTATCCACATTCTTCTCATACCAAACTCAAAAACACAGCACTGTACCAGCTACTGGGAAGACAATTAACTCTATCCCATCTGAAACCAGGACACCACTTGAAAAACCTTGGCAAGAAGTCTTTAGCTAACGGAAGCTCAAAGCAACTTCTATTTCAAAAGTGCAGTGTTTCTGCTGGTTGAAGCATGAGGCTTTACACAACTGCTAGGAGAGAGGAATCGGCAGACTCGGAGCCAGACTGTGTCTGTCTGTCCAGTGCAGAGGCCATTGGAAACACAGCATTCACAGGCACAGCTGAGATGGCAAATGTCTCCTGAGCCCTCTCATCTAGGACAATACATGCAGAGCAATAAACATTACCAGAAGCATTATCAGCAATTTTTATAAAGCAATAAATTTTAACAAAAACACTATTTTTCAGAGTTTCTCTTTTTCTGTGTGGAAGTTCCGTCCAGATGGGTAGTCTAGGACTACCAGCATTTGCAGTTCCTGAGATACAGCCACCACAGAGCTACTGAAGAGCACCCCGAACTGTTGCCAATCCAGCACTGGACATGCCAACAGCACTTCCTTGGCACTTACGGTAAGGCTGATGCTCTGAAGAAGCTACAAGCACACATACACGTGCACTGTACAGCCAGTACTACACATTGCAAGTCTGACATGGCCCGGCAGGAGTACCCAGCTCCCTGGAAAATCCCGGCTAGCAACATGGCAGCACAGACCATGGCCCATCCTGCACATACGCCTGCACCTTTCCATACTTATACCATCTCCTTCAGCACCAAAGTCTTTCTTTACCTCCTCTCTGGAAATTTATTCCCTGGTGTGTAGGTAACGCTGGGGCCAACATCCCCTGCCCAGCAGTCACCCAGGTGACTCTGACAGGTTCTACTCTGCAGTCCATGTATCACTTGATTTCTCTAAAACAGAAATAAATGCAAAGTTTTTTTTACCAACAAATCTCCTGTTAGTTATGAGCCCTTGGTTTTGTGCACCATTTGCCAGCTTGTACATCAGCAAAAAGGCTCTCAACTTCACACAAACAGGTGTCACTGAATCCCTTCACCCAGATTTTTAAGATAAGAGACAGGGACTGCATCCCTGGAAAATGTAAAAAACCTACCATCGAAGTACAAAGCCGGGAGCTGCTGCTCAATGAGCACACATCAATTTCCTGCGCAAAGCCCAGGCTCTCCAGAGCATAACATGAAGCTGCTCCAGGCAATGGTCACGGCAATGCTGCACAGAGGCAGTTGCTTCTTGGAGTCATACCTCTGTTTTGTAGAAGAGTTGCATTATCAGTGAGGTGGGGAGTGCAGGAATAAGAATATGAAACATGACGCAGTTTTTAATTAAGCAAGTGTTATCCATTCAGCATGCTGAGGTACCATTTCCATATTAAAACCAATGCATTACAGTTCAATATTAACGTAAAATGAGGGGAGTAATGAAGGATGGACAGGCAACCCTTAACCTGGAATTTCTTAATTTGGCCACAGCCCTAACCTGGCTTTACCGTTTTCCTTTCCCATGAAGGCACAGGCTCAACCTCTCCGTGTACACTTAGCAGAGAGCTGTCTCAGCGCCTGCAGGACCGGCTACCCCAAGCCCGCAGAGCTCTGTGGGTAAGAACCTTTATACAACATTCAAGTAATGAACTACTTCTTGAACTCAGTATAAAGATCTTTAGATCAGATGGATATATCACCTTGAAGGACACGAAATATCAGACTTAGCAAATGTAGATTCCCAAACATAGGAATAAATTTTCTTGGCTAATATGTTTACTGCAAAATTTACTGTATTTCTTATTGAAAGTTAGCAAGAGAAACACTAAGCAGAAAATGTGATGAAATTATTAAAAAGGACACTGTTTTCATTTCTCTTACATTATTAGAAAACCAGCAGAGGGACTGGCTTTAATTTCCTTTTACTAGGAGAGTCTACTATTCATTGCTGGTTTAGAAACAACTATATTTTTTCTGCATAACTGGAAATTTAAAATATCAATGTCACCGCTCATACACTCTTTTTTTTTTTCAGTATTGCAGAATTCTCTGTATTTAAAATGCCATTCACATTTGATAGTCTCTAGAACTCCATTTTATATACTTCCAAATAAGTACCTTGCATAGGAAATGTGTGTGTGTATATATATAAGGCATATAGTTCCTTAGGTTCTACCTGGCTGGAAAACTGTTCATGAAAATCATTATTCCACAAGAAACCAAATGGTATCAGTTATTCTTTACAGTAAATTCATTTATCTAAATAATTTTAGCAGTACTTTGACTTCCACTCTATCACAGCTTCACAAAAATAACAGCACTGGAGAAATTGTAAACTTAAATGTAAATTTAAATATTCTGCAATGTTTAAATGAAGTACAAAATATTCAAACAACTTTTAACCCAGAGAATGGCACTACTTTTGGGCAAAGTCATGTTTAAAAGAAGGATTTATACTATTTTTTTACTTCAGAGTTGATGATCTCTACTACATGTGAATGATTTGCAAGAAAATGCTACTGTTGAATCTCCTGCATTTCCCAGAACATAGACTTGGAAAAATTTTCAGAGTTAAATGAAAGATCTCATTCAATAATGGAGATTCTGTGGAAATCAGTGGTGAAACTTCAGTTGGCTTTAGGATTTCAGGATCAGGCCCTAGCTGTTTCAGCTTTATAACATTTACGTCACTAAAAGCATATGCTACTGTATTTTTTCAATAAGTAGTATAAATCTGAGAGCATATTAGGTATTCTTTGCTTTCAATTATATCACAACTTCTTTGTAAAACATTCAAGTAACAACACTCCCTATAAAAGCGTTGAGTGTTAAAACCAAAAAACCCAACAAAACAAATGAAAAGATGAAGGTTTACAGCCATAGTGAAGCCATTTAATAAGATGGATTAACCCAATTTTTTTTTTTTGAGCCCTTCAAACAATGAACAGTCTTCTAAGATATAATTGCTACTGGATGACATAACTACAAAAAAGGATAACATACTTTGGACTGTCTGACAGGTTTGGAAGATTATCTTTTCTAATGTAAACCTCGAGTCAAATCTCAGCAACAGTAAATCTAATAAACTTTGCTAAGACCTTTAACTCTTCCTTGTGCTTTTGCTTGACTTTAAAATATATATATATATTTAAAGTTTCCATGTATTTCTTCAAAACATATTTTTAATTTTACAGTCCCTGGGTAACTTCCAGGGATTTATTTGTTATTAATTAGTATAACGCATGCTAACCAACATCCCCACATCAAATTATTAAAGCGTAACATGCAATTTCAAGTCACCATAAGTAGCACAGACATACCAGCAAGCAGGGTAAATAACCTGCTCTTGAAACAGGCTGAAACAATACATAGGTTTTAACATCTCTATTAATTGCAACTGCCCTGAATTCTCTCAGTAATTCACATATAGGGCTGAGAGTATTTTTACCACAATCCATGCTGAAGTGGTCAACTTCTCTGCAAAACCTGCCTCGTTAAGAGTTAGTTAACATTAACATCAAATGTGCCCATTTACAGTTAAAACCGATTATACTATCCGAGACTATTATAAAAACATCATCTATAAAGCTTTTTGCACATACAAAATGCACAAAGACAGTGGCAGGGCAGATTTTTATGTCTATGTAGTAATGGATTTCTAACACCCCAGGAAAAGAAACGTATGTGTTTTAATAACCCTTACCTTGCCCTCTGCACCTCCAGCTGGCTTGTCCACCTCCTCCTCCTGTGTTTTCTGCTTTCCACAAGAAGAACTAAGCAAAAGATTAATAAAAGGAGTTTTGCAAAATAAGGCATCTTGCTGGAAATAGGAGTCGGGCACTCTGCACTCCAGTAACCTCCTGTAGTACAAGTCCCCCCGTGTTTAAGCATTGAATCAACTCTAATTCGCGTGTTCGTCGGCGATCGGTGGTAGAAACACTGCTTTCCCAACGTGATGTTTTTGACAGGCATTCAGGGGCTTCTCACTCAAAGCTATTGCCTCATCACTGCTTAATGATTGGCCATTACTCATGAAGTTTGCCTCACCAAACATTTCCACTGGGTCCTAAAGGATATTTACTAAAGCCATTATATAAAACCCCACAATTCTGCATGCCAGCTTTTTGCTCAATCCCCTAATCTCAGGGCAGTGCTACCCTTCTGCCAGACTGTGTAAAACCAGGCTGTTCCTCTTCATTAGGCTTTCCAGATTTCCTGTTCCTTTGCGTGGCATCTTTTTCAACTGGAAAGAGCCTGTGCCATGTTTCAGATGTGTATCATTGTAAAATGTACATATCTTGACGGTTCTGTAGCAGTTAAGATTTTATTTTCCAGTTTAGTCTGGCTCTTTATGCTGTTGAAGATAAAAGATGAGCTATTTCCTCTGAAAATGATTTTATTTACTGTTAACTTTTAAAGGAAAACTAAAACACAGTAACCCCCACAGTATCTATACATGCCATAGACTCTTTACGTAAATCAAGTCACCATCAATATTTATTTTTTCAAATAGGTATTTGCACAATCAGGCATTTTAACTTTTATTTTAAAAGTCTGAAATAAAAAAGAAAAGCTACAAAGCAGCTATTTCGTTAATCACAAGGAAGAGGCTGTTTTCAGAAACCACTCAAAGCTTATTTTCTAATAACCCATTCAAAGGGCAATACAGAATGCCTCTTTGCAGAAGACTTAGCTGCTTTACTAACAGCCAGTGTGTGGTACAGGTATGAGAGCAAAAGTTTGCCTGGCACAGCATTGAGGCTCTGGGAAAAGAAAACCACATTCAGAGCAAACTTCGAGGACCAGGTGGGTCAAAACCCAGCAAAACTGTCTTTTGGGTCAGACCTCCTTCAGAACTCTCTTCTGTGAGCCCAGGTTTGCAATGCTTAAATAGAACAGGTATTCAAGCAACATACCAACTAGGAAACACAGGTACTTTTATTTTTTAGGCTACAGGATCTGGAGAGGTTTTTGGGGGTTTTGGTGTGGGGTTTTTTTGGTTTTAATTTCTGATGAAATAAATATACAAATTAGGTAAAACCACATCAATTAATATATTGACATCAAATTGTTCTGTAGCAGAATGTGTGAGTAACGGCTGAACTGACTGAACAAACTACATACTTTTGTGTGAACTTCTTAAGAAAACTATTTTTTGATCTTTGTTCCATTGTACCTGCAAACAAGATTATCAACAATCCACAAGAAGTGCTAAAAAGGAACTCAGGTTTTGCTTTTTTTAATTTCCACATCCCCCTTAAACACACAATGGGCCTTCCTTATTTTAGAAGTTGTTACAGCTACTGTAATGTTTCACAACACTAATACATAATATATTTAACAAAATTTAGGAAAGCTGTAGGTAGCTTGATAAATACTTGCTGAGAAACAGGATGAGAATCTCACTTAAGTCAGTGCTATCGTGTTTGACAGCAACGAAACAAATTAGCTAAATTTCATTGTCTTTGAAATAAACATGCTAGAATACATTTAAATGTGAACAGTAATACAAGAGGAAAATTATCCCACTGATTGCTTTCTTCTACTTCACCGCAATACTTAAACACTGACAGACAAAACCTCTCAAAAACCTAACAATTGTAGGTCTATTGCTTGTATATGTGATTTCACAGCATTCATGAATATTACGAGTTACTTTTTTAATAAACTAATAATACAAAAAGCCTCTGGGTCCAATATTGATTTTTTTGTTAAAAAAAAAACCAAAACACTGAAACAAAAAAAAAAAAACAAACAAAAAACCCCACAAACCAAAAACAAAAGGCCATGTAATACTTGAAATATAACTGAAGGCTGGCTTGAAACTGTTTATTACTGCCAGGGTTTTAATAAATATTTCTCTTAAGCATGTTCATATATATGAGAGTTTAAGTATAATAAGGTTTAAATTTTCTTTAGTAAATAAAACCACATATGAAACATTCAGTTCAACACATGTATATTTCTGGTATAATTAAAAGACAATAGCTCTGGGTAAATAATTATATTATATATTTATAACTATTGCAAGAATAGACATGTTTTATATAATCTTCAATTTAAAAAACCAAGATATACAATTGCGAGTATTAGAAGAGGACATTCAAATCTTGCAAAAGATTATCCAATCTTTCTTCCAAAAAATAAAATCAAAATAATGCAAGTAGTTTTCTGGCCCCTGCTTTCCTCCCCTACTCCTTTCCCCCTTTCACACACACAAAGCAGCATCACAAATAATTTGTACATGTTCCCCTTCTAGAAATGCATCATGGTAAATAAAAGTGGTTACAAAACCTTATCCCCTCTAAATTAAGAGTTCACTGGACACAAACACATAGTAGTGTTTCATTTTATAATTCCTTCTCCAATGTCAAATCTTGTACTAACTTAGATGGGGTGATTGAATGCATTTACACTCCATAAAAAAGTGAATCAACCACTTTTTAAAAATTGTCTTTTTTCTAGTTGATAAATTACTCAAATTGACTCCCCTCCTACATGCCTTAATGTTACTATTTCACTGCACTGTTTCTCCAAGTATCTAGTGGGCACTCAATTAACACTTGTTGGTAGTTAAACTTCCAACTTGGCTTTTCTTACAAGTAATGTATCTGTAGGTACATTAACATTCATAAGAATTTAAGCGTAAATACAAAAAGTAATCTTTGTAAACAGTTCTTATGTCATACCCAATACAGAATGTTCAATGAAGCATTCAAGTCACTGCTCTTACGATAAACAACCCTATAACTCAAATATATACTCGTTAGCCAAGCATATTCTACGAAATATAAGAGCTGCCAATGCAAAAGTCAGAAGGACAATCAGAACGGTTGATCCAGTGTGGTTCATGTTGACTCTTTGTTGCTGTACCCGATTAAAGTCAGTCGAAGACGGAGCCCGTCTCTGACTCTGCTGCTGGGCACGGCGCTGCCGAGGACTCATAGACGTGTTAGTGGACACAGGTGGAGTGTGCTCTTGACTGGCCGCTGCGCTGCTGTTCTGAGTTTCAGACTGAAAAGGAAACACGGAGAGTTGTGAGGCAAGATGGTGCGTAAGATTAGCAAGGAATAAAATCATTAGGACTAAAATGGGCTCTTCGGATAATTGTTAATACTTGAAAGCCTGTTAATACATGTCACTGGTAATTATGAGATTGTTATAGCCATCATTTTTGTCCATACACTACCTTGAGAAGAAGTCTATTTCAAGCTGCAAATTAGCAGTTCTAAGGACAAGGAAAGTCTGAAGAAAGTCTGTCAAACAGTATTTGAATTCTAGATTGGTTCCAAATCCAGAGATTTCGAAAATCTTTGTCTAGGATTTGCATAACTCTTTGCAGTTCAAGAAATCTTTAATAATCCTCCAGATAGTTAAGTCTCTGAGGATTTGTAATGTCACCTATACTGAAGGGGAAACAAGTTCGGGAGGGCAAGAAAGGAAGAAGTCCAGAGAACTATAATTAAGCAATGCTGCACTGCTTTCTGTGGACAGCTGGGTCCAAAAGTCTGTTCTCATCACCACCACCACCACTGGAAAAAACAAAACAAAAATCCTGGATACAGAACACCTAAGTGATTCCAGCACGAATTATTGAGCACTGTATTTATGCATGCACATACCTATTGCCCTCTACTGGTCAAACGTTGGTCTACCATTATATGTAGTAAAAAAAAAAAACACTGGCAACTGATGTTCAGCTCAGGAGAGTATTATTCTAAAGAAAATAATTTTTCAGTCTGTAAGATTGAAACTGTGAGTTCTGATATTCCACCGGCCTAACCCTGCTTGCAATACTAAATCCAACATTTTAATATTAAAAATAGTGACTCAGCACAGTTGTTGGAAATTAAAACTGAACCTTGTCAAAATGTTTGTGTTTAAAAAAAACAGTAGCTCTGACAAAAAGTTATTTTTTTTGAAGCCTTCTCTTCACTTCTCAGAACAGTTTGCAGGTATCAGGTATCCCCACTTAAAGCAACCTGCAGCTATTTTCCAGAGTTACCTTTCTCCCTGCTCCCTTCTTTGAAAAGATTGATTATCATTACAGCAGGTAAAACTAGAATTCTGGACATTTTATATTTGCTTCTAAGCAAAGGCCTTTTAATGGACACAATATCCATAACCCTAAGCACTGTTTCAGCCAGCTGCTACATCCATAAAAGATATCCTTTCCACATGGCCAGAAAGGGAATGTCCTCAACTGTGTATCCCATTTGATAATCCACAAAGCAGTCAGTAGCCCTTGGTCCTCTGACTCTTTGGCCACATATTCTGCATGTGGGAGAAGAACTCCAAATTTTCACCTAATCAGTGATTTGACTAGCCCGGGGAAGAGACCTTCCTTTCCTATCTCTTCATCATTAGTATTTCCTACTGTTTATTTTCAGCAAGGAAGACTGATGTAATTACTTGCCACATTTGACAACTTGCCTGTTTACACAGGTTTCTTGCCTAAGCAAGCAAGTGGCTTGGGTAGCTTCAAAGAAAAATGTTTTTAAAAGATTTATTTTATCAGCAGAGACAGCCAAGAACACCACGAGCAGCTTGCCATGATTTCCACTACACTGCAGAGGAAACTCATTCTGCTCCATACTGAACCCATTTGAAAGCTCCTCATGCCAAGGAAAATAAAGACTCAGGGAAGCTGAGCTTTCGAAAAATGAAATTCCTAGATTCACCTACACTCCCATCTTTCAGAAGGGGAGAGGTAAAGAATTGAATTCAGGAAGCAAGAACTGCAAATTCAGCAGGCAAAGGGTTATTCTTCTTAAAGTAGCTTTTAAAAAAGGAATAATTAAAAAAAGAAGTCTAGAAATATTACTGATCCTTCATACTTACTAACAAAAGTAACTAGCACTTGCTCTCACACACCTGGGTTTCTTCCCAACACAGCAAATTTTTTATTTAAAAATAAAACAAAAAGGCCCTGTTCTGAATGAGACAAGGTGCCATACACTGACATGAACAGAGCTGTGATTCAAGAGAAACCTCACTGACAATTGCAAGGCTTTAAATTATTTTTTTGGAGGAAATTATATAGATGCATCAGGACAGCAGAAAACTGACTGCTTCACCCAAAGCCAAGCTAACACACTGCCTTGGGATTTCCAACGTAATCAATGACCAAGTATCAGCAGACATGGAGAAGCAAGTTAGATAAAAAAGGAGTGATCACTACTCAATACAAATTTGGCACCAGATGCTACTATATCTTAAATAATATATACATCTAGATAACAATTAAGTCTTCAAACAAAAAAATCTTTAAGAATCCCACAAATGGCAGATGGGCTTTATTATAAATTCAAAAAATCACAATCATCTTGTCTTCATTTATGGCAAGTTTTTAAATTCTCCTTAAGCAAAAATGTCAAGATTTTTAGACTAACGCAACACCTCACAAGACACAGTGTCCATTCAATTTTAAGTCATTTTCTGCCAAACCATACTGGAAATGCTGGGGATGAGGGCTTAATAAACTAAAAGTAAAAATGTTTAATAAGAGCTGTGTTGTAGCCACCTTTAGCATTTGATCTTTACAGTCACTGAATATGCACTTTATGTGTCATATTAGTTCTGAAGCTTCTGAAATTGTTAGAACTAGTAGAAAACTTTGCTCCAAGGACATCTGAGTTCAATGAGTAAACTAGTTCACTAAAATGTACATATATTAGAATTAACAAAAAGTTCTATCATATTACAAAATGCAAGTAAGGAAATTTATACTATGTTCAGTCTACTGCAGAATGGTAGCATTCACTGCATCATTTATGTCTCCAGGCCATTATTTAAAAAATTTTTATCAGAATACTGGAAGTATTAAATAATCTTAGAAGGGATGTTTTAAAAATATAGCAAACTCTAGGAACTCAGAACCATATAAATCCTCTGGGTTACTGAAGCCTCCTTCAGTTATACTCATGATGTCAGAGAGATACAGAAATAAGAAGGTTTAAGTATAGGTGAAATACTTGGTTTGTGTATATAACTTCCAACTGAAGAACAGCTGAAGTTTGACACAGCATGGCTTAAAGGCTAATAAGAAAAATGTCTATTTTTTAATGAATCAAAGTTGGGCCAAGTACTCCTGATTGCCAAGACACTTAAAATTGTTGCTGTAGTATTACAAAACTTAAGACACCACTTAATAGTGATAAAAGGAAACACTTTTTAACAATGTATTAACAATATATGATTAAAAATAAGGGCTTCTATAAATCTCATGTATCAGAACATAGCCTCATTTCCTCACAGAAATCCCCCTCATCAATTCAAGATTAGTTGACTTCAGTTATACTGTTTATTTCATTACTCCTCATTATAACACTTCATCTGGCCAGTATATTAGTGCAGGACACTACTATAGTATATTGTTTAATAACAGGTGTACTGAGGTTTAATGTATTCCCAGGTTATCAGAAAAAAAGTCTAACCACAGTTTTTAGCTTGTCATGTTGATACTTAATAATAATCACAATTTTATTCAACGACTATAAGCACCAAAGTGGGACATCATTCCACATCAATACCCTAAATGTAGGTTGCTACAGGCATGGTAGGAGTTCAGACTCCCATGACGGTCCATGTGGATTTAGTCAGTGTGATCAGGGGGACAGACAGAGCAATGCAGCCTGCCAGCCTCTGCTTCTCAGTGAGCTCCAGTGCTCTCCAGCCTCCACTAACCAGTACCACGGACTGTGATCAGAATTTTGTACCAATGTTTAGGTGACCACTGGCATAGTAGGTGACTTAATCTGGACCTGAGTCCAACCTGACTGTCTACAACATATTCATTCTAAAACACTCTTCTGCTCAGATGTGGAAGAATCTCATTTTCTTAATGCTAAGGGCGATTACTTTTATCAAGCCAACTTTCAGCAGTACCTTGCTTGCAATATGAACACTCAAACAGGAGTAATGTACCACTACTTTGCCCTGAGTAGACATCAACAGCTACTACAAACTG